TCATAAAAATCCAATTAGCTACCTGTATTTACAATCCCATGTGTATTATACATGTATATTAACTCAAAATTTTGAAACTTTAAATGTTTATATCTAATAAGCTAATAAAGTTATATTAAAAATTCAAATGCCATTTACTATTAAATTAAAAACTCAAACATTTTATTAAATTAAAAATATGTGTTACCATTTAAAAAAACAAAGTTTACCCCCCTCCAAGGCATAAGGGATGAACTTAAAAAGTATTACATAGTTAAAAATTCAAGAATAATGTGTAACTAAAGATAATAAAAAAAAAAAATGTTTAAATTATTATTATTCTGCAAGTAATTGAGTGGGTTATGATAAAAAAATCACCCTGTATTATTATTTATAATATTAACATATAATATGCTGTCATCATTTGTACATGTCAGTCAAAATAAAAATTTATTTATATATATATATATATATATAATTGATGACAGGCACGCGTGTACGGGTTTAAAAACCAAAAATATAAAATTATACAGAATTAATGTTAACGGTGTGTGGTAGAGCTCTGCATGGTCCGAATTTTCAAGGACCGGACCGAACCGTACTAAAAAACTAAAAAAAAGAACGGACTGAATTATTATATGAAATTTAAATTGGACCAGATCGGATAGAAATTTTAAATGGACCGAACCGAACTGGACTATAAAATAAAAAAAAATGCTAGACTGAACCGAACCGGACTATTAAATAAAAAAACTCTGTCCAGACAAAGTTAAACCAGATACAACAAAAATGTTGACCATACTGAACAAAACATGAACATTAATTCAAATAAACTTTGGGACTTGATCGGACTGTTGCAAAAAATGAAAATTGTACCTGGCTAGACAAGGCCTAATTGAAATGAACTAAAACTTTACATATTAAAATCTTTAGACATTATATATTTATGGAATACTTTTTTTTATATTTGGTCCTAAATTTAAAACAAAATGATTATTCACAAAAATAACTAAAAGTTTACTCAGATATAAACTTATTTGTAAAATCACGAAATCATAAGATACTTTATTACTCAATATAAAAAATTAAATTAAATTATTATTAACTATTTAAATAGAGAAAACAAAACATATTAAAATATTTTAATTACATAAAATAAAAAATTTTCCTGTTATAAAATTAAACAAATCAGAAAAATGTATATTATACTATTAAAGTTAAGTTTTGTAATAGTTGTTCAAAAATAATATGCCGACAACTATAGAACCGTTTAAACAACTCCTTCGTTCTTCTATTACCCTTCCAGCAGTATTGAATGACCTTTCACTACTTGCACTACTAGCCGGAATAGCCAATATTTGTCGTGCTAATTTTGACAGGCATGAGAATTCAAATTTTTTATTTTTCCAAAATTGTCTTCGTGGACGTCGAATTATTTATTTTTGTATTCTTCCAACTCCTTTTTATATTTAAAGCGACTTTCTGAAATTTTTACACTTGAAAGATCTTTCCATTCCGAAAAAATGGTATTTTTTTTATTATTTGACCGATTCAGATTTTCTTGTAAATCACTATAAATTTCATTAGATTCCTCTGATTGAATTTTATATAACTTCATATCAATTTCATCTAAAATTCTCAATTTGTCAATTTCAGAAAACATTTTTAACGATTTGAATTTCGGCGATATAAATACAGCTATTTCATGTGTCAATGTCCAACTGGAATTTGGAGTTCATGAGTACTAATCCTTTCTTACCTAATAATTTTAGTATAATCAAAATGTTGACATCGCCATTAATATGATTGCATTTTTGCAGTTCTGTAAATTTATTTAATGTTTTTTTAATAACGCCTGATACAAAATAACTTTGTGAATAGTAGGGCGTATATCAGATTCAAGTTTATCAGATGCTGCTTTAAATGGTTCTAAAAATTCAACGAGTTTTTTCAGTAACTCTCCGTTAATATTTTTTACACGACTAAATGTTTGTCCATGATATTCAATAATTTCTGGAAGTGCACGTTGTACAGATTGCAACATTAATAATCGTGTGTTCCATCTATTCTCTACTTCTTGTACAAGTCCTTTGTTAAGTTCACAATTCCTTCCACTGCTTTTCATATACCTTACTAAATGTTTACATTCATTCATTAATATTGTAACAGGTTCCAGAGGGTTTTCACCGTCTTCATCTTCATTATTCAAAAATTTATCGTCGAATAAATTTCTTAAAACTGTGTAAAGCAAATGTGCACAACAATTGAGACACTTAAAACTTCTAAGTGCTGATATCATATTAGTTCCTTGGTCAGTAATAAATGTTATATTAGACATTAAATCACAATTAGTTTCATTTGCAACCTCAATTATTTGAAAAAAAAAATTACGTAAAAATCGTTTTATATTTTCGACAGTTTTTGTTTCATTTGAAAGAAATTGACGAGTAAAAAGTAATCGACTTTTTAACTCTCAGTTATCGTCTACATAGTGTAAAGTAACTGACATATAGTTACTTTTACGGTAATTATCTGTCCACATGTCGCAAGTAGATGCACAATATTTATTAACTATAGTTTGAAATAAGTCTTTGAATAAATTTTGTCTTATTTCTTTGGTGGTCTTATCTATATGCCGAGATATGGTTGTAGGGCGGGGTAACAAATCTTTAATATCAGTTTAACCAAATTTTGTACCAATATCTAATAAAAACTGGCCAAATTGTAAAAAACCTTCACCTTCTATAGCTGACATAGGTCTTATATCTAAACAACAATATTTAACGAATTTTTCAATCGCTTCGTCTTTCAAAAGTTTTGGTATAACTTTTTTGACTTTATTTGTCGACACGGAAAACTCATTGATAGATTTTTGATTACTTATTACCATATTACATTTATGTCTTGTAAGAGTAGCAGTTCCCGTTTTTATACCATAAACCTCTTTGCAGTGAATACAAGCTGCAAATCCTGTTAACACATGCTCGGGACTATCAGGGTCAGTATAATTGGAAGTCACACTCATAACACTTTTAAATTTCTTCCAAACACTACTTTTCCCCTCGTGAGGAAACAAAGTATAATCACCAGAATTACTCAATAATTTTCTTTTAACAGTATTTTTAGAAACAGTACATGCTGGATTTTTTTTCTAAATTTATTGTTGATTGAGTTGTATTCTCTAAGTTAGAAGGAATAATAGAATTATTTGAAAAGTCATCATCAATAGAGCTCACCGAAGTTGATTTCAAGAACTCGCGAATTTGTTGAGAATTATTCATGATTCTAAAAAAAACAACACTAAAATGTTTTTTTTAACTTTAATTATTTTTATTTTGTGTGTAATTGAGTTAATGATTTATGATAAATGGATCACTCTGTATAGGCTATAAACAAAATTCAATAACTCAAAAAGATCCTTGAGTAAACTAATAATTTCAAATTCGTGTTGTACAGAATTTAACATATTTAGTTTATACATACAGAATGATTTTTTAACTATGCCACACGAAATAGCTTTGAAATTATTATTGTTAATCATTTTTTTTTTTACATTAATGATTCATTGTTGAGCAATATAAACGAAAAATTAATTTTGTGCTACCATTTCGAATGTCGAATGGCAACCCCAATTTTTTTCATACCATCAAATTTATTTAATCGAAAAAAATATTGTCTTACATATGGGGTAATTAAATCATGACTTATTGTTAATTATTACGATATATTTGAATAAGCTTTCACTTAAAATGTTAGGTAAAAACCATTAGTTTATTTAGCCCAAGTGAAATTTTTGGTTCAACAAGTTATTATTAGCATATTATTTTGCGTCGATAAATATTTTATGAGTAACGTTTAATTTTATAACAAAAAATTAACACCTATCAATATAAAGCTGTACAAAACAAAAATTTTTCTATCTCTCCTAAAAAGCATATGTGCTTATTTTTATTATACTATTTTTTAAATAATTAAAAATTTATTTTATAAGAAAAAATACTTACAGGCAGATTGAAAATAACTGACGTCTTTCGTTGATGATAAAGAAATAAAGCTAGATGATTATGTTGGTTGATATTTCCCAACTTTATTTTATCCAACATGATGTACAAAGACTCATTAAATGTAATATTGTTATCAATACAAGGGTAATTCTTTAAAAACACGATTTTAAGTCTTAACTGAATTAAAATAATATTGTATGTTAGATGGACAGTAATAGTCTTTCTATGTCTAGACATAATTATAGTCAATAAAAACGATCAGTTTATTCCAAAATGTGCAGAAAAACTATGAAATAATATAATACACTTAACGATTGACAGCGTAAGAAAGCAATACATTATGCACTATGATTTTAAATCACATTTCAGGATCCTGGAAATTCTATTGGCACGTGGGTCATTATTTGAAAGAATTCAGCATTTATGTGACATTTATTGTATTAATTTTTAGTGAGTGTTATCATCGTTCACTATAATGAAAACCATTTAAACCTATTACGATAAAAATTATGATTTTTTTTTTTATTATATTACACGCGAGTTTCTACTAAAAACGATAATACAAATATATTTATAATAGTATACTGCTATTAAAAGTGGACTATTATCTCAATTTGAAGACGGATCGAGACCGGGTCCTTGAATTCATTTAAAGACCAGGACTGGACCGATGAACTTTTTAAGGGACCGTAAAAAAAATGACCGATAATTTTTAACTACAGACCAACTAGGACCGGACCAATTTATTATTTGAAGTATAAGACCTAACCGGACCGAACCGTGGTCTAGTCTGGTTCAGTCCGGACCGGTTCAAACCGAACCATGCAGAGCTCTAGTGTGTGGTGAGCAGGTCGAGGTGAATGCGTTACGACGTCTAATCTCAAGGTCATAGACGACAGGATACGCGAGAATAATAACACGTGCCGCGTGGAAAGTTACAAACAACTCACAACAATCAACACACATCCATGTGAAACTTATATAAGCGTGTTAATAAATATCCTTTCAGATTCGCATCAAAGCTAAAAAGACATTTTTTCTAATAATTTTAATATTAAATGATTATATCAAAAATAATTTAAAATGTTATATATTTTTTATTGATTTTAAACATTTTTTACGGTCATTATATTCTAGAATTAAAAAAAATGAATTTACACATGTGTTAGTTAAACATCGAAATTTCAAAAGCCAAAAATATATAAATAATAATTAATAATTTTATATAAAGTGAATGGTTGTTTATAAAATATTTGTAATACATTATAATAATTATATTAGATTATTGTTACATAATATTATTATAATAAAACTAAACAATAGATTGATAAAGAAAAATATAAGATTTGATATTATAACTTATAATTTTGTTGTTTTTTACTACAAAATGATGAGTTATATACATTAAGTTATAATTTAAATGAATATTACAATATGCCAAACATAAACGTCATAAACTTAATAAATATTTTCTTACATCTTTCAATCTTTTTCATAAATAGTTTCATGGTTTTCTTTATCATATTTAAAGCCAAGATTTGTATACTCACTTTCAATGCACTCATTAATAATATTGAATAATTTATTTTCAAGATAATAAGTTGGACTTAAGTGATCTAACCCTAAACGATCACACTCCGCTAAATAACTGTAGTAACCACTAATGGAGCCATTATATTCTGTATAAATGTGATACTTTTTGATGACTTCATCAAGACGTGTTTTAAAATCTGTCATGGTTTTCCAAATTGATTCTATATCTTGATCAACATTATTCTTTATAGACTTTAATTTTACCGCTAATTTATCTAACTCTTCTAAAAATGGTAAAATAAAATTGTCAGATTTGATATTACCTGACAAATTCTTTATATAATTAATCACACCAATATATAGTTCTGTCATATCTCTTGTTTTTATAATAAACGATTTCAATATCTCAACACATACGTCTAACTCAACTCGGTTTGATGTTAAATCATAGTACTTCTTTTTTTTATCACAATCCTTTTTTTGCTCAGTTGTAAAAGTAGTGACAAATATTAATGAATCTGTGTATAAATAATTTACCATTAACATTGCTCCATTAAGTCTTTTGGATAGATTTTTCTTCGTAACAGAATTTGTGCCTTTATCAGGGGTTTCCACTAGATTTAAATATTTATATACTTGTATATTATTAACAAAGTCGTACATTTTGCAAATCTGAAATGACTTCCATTTATCATGTTTCAGAAATGAGTTTAAAAAATTGATAGCGTCCTTTTCACCACATGATATAAACTCAACTAAAGCGTAAAGTGCTATTAAAAATGTCGAGAAAACTAAGTTTTTCATTTTTATCGAAATATAAATTGAATTTTTTAATAAAATAAAAAATAAGAAACAGTTAAAAGTATTATGGAGTACAACAATAGTCCATTAACGCTAAATGCAAAACATTTAAATATAGTAATTATATGTATGTTTATAAGATATATTGTTATCAAAATCAATTTTTATAGCAATATAAATTGATTTTTTTTCGTTTTATAAATTATAAACATTTGCAAAATTTATTTGCTGAAAATTTTTATGATTTATATTCCTATTAAATTATAATTATTTTTTTGCAATTTAATATAAATAAAAAAAATGTTACACCTTAAAATATTGTAAATATTTCGATAAAGTTTTTGGTATTGAAGTCAGTAGATAGTATTTACTCTATGATATTTTCATTCTAAGTTGATTCTTTACCTTAA